TCGACCTGTTGTCTTTCGACCTTTTGTCTTTCAACCTTTTGTCTTTCAACTTTTTGTCTTTCGACCTTTTGTCTTTCGACCTTTTGTCTTTCAACCTTTTGTCTTTCAAGCTTTTGTCTTTCGACCTTTTTGTCTTTCGACCTTTTGTCATTCAACATTTTGTCTTTCGACCTTTTGTTTTTCGACCTTTTGTCTTTCGACCTTTTGTCTTTCGACCTTTTGTCTTTCGACCTGTTGTCTTTCGACCTTTTGTCTTTCGACCTTTTGTTTTTCGAGTTTTTGTGCTTTCGACCTTTTGTCTCAAAGCCGGTCTAACCTGGGGTGAACAAATGCAGTTTTTTGATTTTTCAAAATTAATTGTCAAATGTACCCATTTTGAACTTCAAAACAATCGTCAATTCAGTGCTTTACGCATTGAAATTAAAATCCGAAACGCTTTCATCTTGCATTTTATAAATGCTCAATGCGTTTGAAAAAGATATTCATGCTAAATTATCCAATGTTTGTTTTCCGATTGTTCTCTATTGTACCCATCGATTTGACGGTAGGGTAGGTACCAATCGAACACGATGGGGAATACACACACACCCGATCCCCCATTCATTGGAGAGCGAAACCGATGGGGAAATTGAAAAGAAGCCGTTTTTAATCCATTTGCAGTTTCTCCCGCGCCAATTTTCCTGCTCGGTTCTCGTTCCTGCGGGAATTCAAATCGAACGAACCCCGGCATGGAAATCCGGACTGCTCTTTTGTTTCACGACGACGGTGTGGCAAAGCTTGTCGAGTATTTTTCGATTTATATTTCAGGGGGGGCATCTGCTGTAGCCCGCCCGGCAAAAGTAGCTCAACGATTGACCGCCGCTCGCTTCCTTCTGCAGGTCCGGTTGTTTGTCCGATTTTGTTTTGCTACCCGTCCTGTTTGGGATTTTGAAACATTCCGAATCCTGTGAGGAAGAAAAGACGCATGTGTGGAGAAGGAGGAGGAGAAGGGAGCTGGACACTCCGGCTATGGATTAATGCCGTTTTTATTTGCCATCGAGAATTGTGTGTACCTTTTTGCCATTAAAACTAATGGACTGGCTCGCAGCTGGATAATTGCTCGGGGATTTGTTTTTGCAGACAGGATATCACAAAGCAAAAGGACAGTTTCAATAAATTGCCAGCTCTGCCTTCCCCGTTACTAACGGTATACTTTATATGGCTACCGTTTGATCCATTAGGCTGATTTGAATTTTTTATTGGAAAATTTGCAGGGGTTGATAATCCGTCAATGGCATCTTAATGTGAGTAAAACATTTGTGAGAAAAGCATACATACCGCAACATATGCAGATGATAATGGGTTGACTTAAACCATTGAAAAGCTTTTCCGTTGTTCCATCGAAACAATTGACGCAACTCAGCAATCCCATTCTCATAACCACTCCATTAGCAAGCAGGGCCGTTCCGTCGTCGTATTGGATTTCATAACTTGATAAAGCATATCATTCGCGATGGCACTCAACACTCCCGGCCGGTTCCATTCGCCTCCACGGTTTATAGCCAGCGTGAGTGTTATTGTTATTATTATCAGAGCAGAGCAAATGCGCTTACACATCATCGCTTCGGCCACCGTCGTCGGTCGTCGCATTTGCCGTTCCTGCTCCAGAGAGGGCAATATGGATGTGGACGGACTAATTCGCACGGGTATCAGTTACGCCGCCTGTATTTAGAGCAACTCAACCGCGGATGCCACTTTCGGGCGGATGATTCCCCATCATACGTTGTGAGTTTCAATGGATGATGGGTGGCTGCGTCCTGCGAGCTTCACGACAGAAGTTCTGTGTATTTCAATAAAGCTTCTAAAACCCCAGCCCTCTGATGCCAACCAATGCGCGTAATGAGGTTGAGTGGAAGTGGGAGGAGAGTTGGGTGACTCATTTCTCACATTTTCCAATATATTTCAGCACGCTCATGTAAGCATCCCTCCAAGGATTTTCGTCCCATTCCAGCTCGCATCTACAAATGATGTTCGAACAAGCCGTTGGAAAATTCACGCTAATTCTGTTGGGATGATGCGAACTGAGCGGGTTGTCGCAGATAATCCCAAGCCCGGTGTTTTCAATGTTTCCGCTGGCACGGAATGGATGGCTTTTGGATCCGGATGCCAGATACGTGTATAGACATTCATAGATCAATTAATGGGGCTTCCACTGTGATGAGGAGCTTGTCGCGTTGCTTTCCGGGCATGGTGTGGCGTTATTGGTTAGATGTGTAATGTTAGCGGCTGGCATGCGCGGTCTGGAGGAAGGATTTCTTGGTGAAATTGGATGCTTGATCCAAGCTGTAAATAAGCGGAAGTCCATTTTTGTGGTTGATTGCGTTTAGGCAGGTATAGTTGGGATTAATGGCATTTGCCGAAAGGTTGTGTGGGTGGTGTGTAACAGATGGCAGTGTTACCAGTTTTGCAGGGTATTATATTCAACATTCAAATCTAATATTTTTCAACAGGATTTACGTTTCGCGGATTTTATTAAACTCTATTGGTGTAAATATGTGGGGAGACCTCTATTTTATTATTTTGTCTTAAGGGTTACCATTTCCATGTTAGGGTGGTTCAAAAATTGCTTTTTTCTTCGATTTTTTTTTCAAAAATCACTTTTTAAATTTTTTTTTTAAAAGATTATAACATTTGAACCAAGATCAAAATCAACATCTCCATTGATTTACAGCAACTGTTAAATGGTCACGATGCATGATATTTTAAATACATACCATAGGTAGGTGAAAACTCAAAACATATTTATCAAAAACAAAAACAACGCATCGCTGATTTTTTATACTAAAGCCCAAATTTTTATTGAAAAATATAAAAACATATTGCGCCCTCTGTCTTCAAACCTTGAAAACCTTAAAAAAAAAACAAATAAATCCCAATTTTTTATCAATATGTTTTTTCAGTTCAAGTTTTCAAGGGCATACAAGCTTTTTGTAAACAAACCTTCTTATGCCCTTTTCTCGCCATCCATATGACACCAACGCAAACCTTTAAGATCACCGGGTAGGGGACACTTTTCCGTTCCCGATGATATTCCTGGTTTGCGTGGGCGACCCTCGGTTGGCGAGAAAAGGGCCTACAAAGGTTTGTTTACAAAAATCTTGTAGGCCCTTTTCACATGTGGCTCTTGATATATATATCGTTTTGCTATGGGATGGCTGATATATTAGGATGGGCCCAAGGGGTGGTCACTCTACACACTTATTTTGCGCCAACTTTTTCCTTAATGTGCCTCAATGTGCCGCAGCTGTGCCGGTAGTGAGCGCTCAACTTCCGAGCTGAACAGACACGTTTTGGCTTTCGCTCGTGGAAGTAGAACACGAACTAATTTCCAATGTTAACTGTGTTTTTTCGTATTCTGCTCATTGCTTAGCCGTTTGGACGCGTCCAAACGACTCCGCGATGGGCCGTCGAGAAAATACCTTTTGAATAGATTTTTTCGAATGTGTCGAAGAAACCGGACCTTGCCAAAGTCCACAAATTCTGTGCGACCGTTCTTGGTCTGAAACAAGGTGAAGTGCTACGTATACAGAACAGCAGAGCCCTCGGTGTTTCGTTCGTGAAACTCGTCGACCTAGAGTTGGCGCAACGAATATGCGAGGAACATGACAACCAACACGACATGGATCGAAGAAGGCCGCGCTGCGAAAATGACGTGTTTTTGTTTTGCTGCGTCGTTTTCGTTCTAGTGAAAATGTTATAAATTTACAATTTCATTTTTAAAAAAGTGTTAATTTGAAAGTACAGAAGTGATGTTGAAAAGTGCATTAAGTGAAAATTTTAAAATTCTTATCCTGTTCTAACCTACGCGTAGTTACGCTCAGCCACGTTTATTTACCTTTTCGTTCCTCTGTCCTCGATAGGAAATATCCATCTAATTCAAGACGATTATTTCAAAACTTACTAAATACGCGGCAATCAAGTATTACACTACTGCTTAAGAAAGTTTCAGTACATTCTCAATGGTGTATAATTGCATCGATAATGTATTGGAGCGGGGCTTATCATGTGCGAAAATAGCTTCGGAATGCTTGCGTTCTTGAAATGAGCTATTGTAGCTGCGGTAGAGCTGTCACCTTCTAACTCCCGGGTTCAAGCTTCTTGCATTCATAAGAAATGATTGCAGGCAGACAGAAGTTGTTACCACCGATGCGCAACGAACAGAATTTCCCCACGCTAGCCTCTACCTCGGCTTCAATTCCCCATCGGACAGCGGGGCGTTGACTCCCTCTACAGGTCAACAGCCCCCTGCTAGCGGCTGAGTGGATCACACATTTGCTAGTGGCAAGTCCGATGGAAAGAGCTCAAGAAGGCATCTCCGTAATCGACCACCAGGCAAGAAGCCTTGGGTGGAGGACGACTGCGACGACAAGCGAGATGGGAGTAACCAACTGTCGTAATGGCTGAGTTCTCCAGTTACAGCCCCGCCTTCATCAACCTTCGAACCTTTGTACGAATGCTGGACGATCGCATATTACCTTCGGCACAACTCGCAACACGTCGTCCTCGCTGGCGATTTTTATTGCGTGCTTTGCCCGAGCGACGTCACGAGTGCAAACACAAGTCCGGCGCTCCAGGCGACCGTACGGCAGCTGCAGCTTCTATGTAAGCTATAGGCTTTGCGAGCTTCTGCGAAGTGCTGCCACACACGTATGTTCGTTCACAGACCACAAAGCTCGGTCGTGAACAAGGACGTGGATTCTGGTCCCTCCGCCCTCATCTTTTGACTGCCGACGGAGGAATTTCCCTAGCTGGATGGCATGGTGGATCTCATACGCGAAGCCAAAAATTAAATCGTTTTTCCGCTGAAAGTCAAGCGAAGCATTCAGCATCTTTAACGCTGAATACCAACGTCTCTAGGCGCAAATGAGGCTCGCGTATGATGGCTACTACCAAAATCTACCGCGTGAAAGCGAAAATGCTCACGCTGCAGCGGCGCTTCGCATTGAATTTCATTCGGATCAATGAAACAGTCGAAGCTGGACATTCTACATACCATCTGCTCACCCAATGGACAAGTGGAACATATCGTGATGTTCAAGAAGAATGGAGTCCAAGCTATGGTTGAGTTTGACAGCATTGAATCCGCCACCAGAGCTCGCGATGCATTGAACGGCTGTGACATCTACTTCGGTTGCTGCACACTAAAGATCGACTATGCCAAGCCAGAAAAACTCAATGTTTACAAAAACGACACGAGCTCCAATTGGGACTACACATTGGAAGCAGCCGTCTCCAAGGATGCCTGCAACGGACGAGTCCAGTTGCTACACGGTCCTACCATCTTCGGCAGAAGGCCCACCCCGTACAACGACCGTCAATCATTAGTCAACCATGGTTCTAAACCAAACTGGAAACCAACACCGGCCGGAAAACACGTTGGACTGATGAAGAACGCACCGCTGACTCGAAACGGGCCAGCCAACTTCATTCAACCGGCACAGCAATGGGGCGCAGTGATGATAGTCTACGGACTCGATAACAACACAGCCAACACCGATAAGCTGTTCAATCTATTCTGCCTGTTCGGAAATGTTGTCAGGATAAAGTTCCTGAAGACCAAAGTGGGTACCGCCATGGTCCACTTGAACAACATTCCAATCGGAAAAGTCATATTGCATTTTCCAAGCAGAACTACTTGTCAGAGTCCACCCTACCGGACAATTCGATCAGCTTCAAGGACTACAGCACCTCCAAGAACAATCGCTTCCTTTCCGGAGCAAGATTCTCCACTTCTTCAATAGCCCACCCGGTATGTCCGAGGATCTGCTGCTGACTGCATCCACCACCAAGGACTGCCACCCGTCGCAAGTGCGAATGCTCCCGCTAAAATCAGAACGTTCCTCCTCCGGATTGATCGAGTTCCCACAGCGCGATCGATCACAAAGGCACAAAATTCCCAATCATTATGCAGCTGTGCTCCACGTCCAAGGCGATGAAGCGTGGAGCAACGAGAACATTGAAAACATAGGCATCTGGCAACCCAATGTAGGCAGTGGCCACGACAGCCTGGTCGGCAGCAGCGTCCGGTGGTGTGACGCCCATTTCGGTGACGGGTGGCTGTCTCAAATCCGAACACCATGGACCAATGTAAGATGGAATTCATGTTCTTAGAAGGAAAGCAAAAGCAATGACGAGATTTGGTAGAGTTCAGTGGTTCCAGTAACTTTAAAGATCAGAAAAATTGTAACCATGGGTGCCAAAAAGGGCCACTGACTGTGCCCAGGTGTGCCCAAGCTTGTTTGAGGCGGAGTGACCAACCCCTTGGATGGGCCATAATGATCATTTTATTAGAATTTTTTTTGGTTCCATTTGGGGTCCCAAACAACTGTGCAAAATTTGGGGACGATTCGTTGGAACCCGGATTTCCGCATTGCGTTTGAAATTTGTATTGACATTAGTGTGGAAAATCCTACTATTTAGCATTTCCATTCGTAGGGAACACAATTTTGCTTGAACCATGCAACTATCTTGTAAAAGTATAGTCCAGGAAATGCTTAACAAGTCAGGCATAACATTTGATAACGGCACAAAAGCATTTGTAAACAAACTTTCTAAGACCCTTTACACGCGAACAAAAGTACGCCCACGCAAACCAATACCACTTTCGGAAAGGTGATAGCTGTCCCTATCCCTATGTGCGTGGGCGTACTTTGGTTCGCGTGTAAAGGGCCTTAGAAAGTTTGTTTACAAATGCTTTTGTGCCGTTATCAAATGTTATGCCTGAAGTTTGCTCAGGGGTGTACGATGCTTGAAGCTATATCTGTTAAAATATTTATAGTTTGAATCAAATACCAAAAACCAATTTTTCTGCCAACACTGCCGTTGTACCAAAGGCAATCAGATTCCATGCTGAAATAAATTCGGAGTGTCGTGTCTTATAGATTTGGTATGTTCAGATGAATTATTCAAAAACAATTGCTCTATCTCATGTGCATAGATGTGCAAACATGGAAGGGGGGGGGATTACTACACCCCTTCCCCTTTGCTCCTATGAAATTGAGCAAATGTTTTTGAATAACCCATCCGATCATACCAACTCGAGAAGATGGGAAACACCAGTTCCATTGAAATGAGTTAGGGAGCGTGGGGTACAGTAAGACCCCTTTTTTTTTTCCTCTGTTCGGGACCTAACACTACTGCGACCAGTAAATTGATCTATTGTAGTATATCCCGTGTCCTTAGTTTAGTGCATGTCGTATTACTCCATCACTATTGAGAAATGATGAAGCATTCGATTTTTTTACAGTTGCCACTCTTGCATTTATCGCAAGGATCCGAGTCTAATTGAAAGGTCCCGCTATTTATACCCTTCGGAGTGTTGAAACACCCTCCAAAGGCGCGCCCCTTTGTCAGTCAAAATTGGATTCCTTAGCAACAAAATTAAGGTATGACACCGATAATGACCATGCATCAGAACCCTAGTCTTAACCACTTCAAACTAGGGAACAACGAAGAGAAGATTAGGAATCACATAGATGAAGACAACTAACTCATTTTTTGCCTTGTTTCAAGATCATCCTTGGTAGACAAAGCCGAGTCTTGTCACTATCAACAAGGCATAAAAAGTAACAAGGACTAAGATGTGTTCCTTGGATTACTGAAAAATCCTGTTCCCCTAGTTTGAAGTAGTCGGGACTAGGAATCGGTGGTAGATCTTACATCCCGTAACGTACCACGAAAAGGTGATCTACCCACGTTACGGGGCGCCCCCTTATCTCTTACTACGCTTATGAGATTTAGCAATTGTTTTTGAATAGTTCATCTGAACATACTAAGGCTCTGAACCATTTGGTGGATTATTTTAACTTTTAGTTAAAATTTGACAGATGGAAAGTTATCGATGAACCCTGCTATCCGAGCTTTGTTATTTCTGACAGACAAGAAGTTAAATTTTGACAACCGTGGGTAAAAAACCGGTCGATCGACAGCACCGGGATTTTCGAACACAGAAAATAACTTTCGAAATGTCACTTTTAACCACGAGTGAAATTTAACTTGGCAAATGGTTCACAGCCTAAATCGATAAGATAAGAAACTCCGAAATTATTTCAATTTAGGCTGTGAACCATTTGCCGAGTTAAATTTAACTCGTGGTTAAAAGTGACATTTCGAAAGTTATTTTCTATGTTCGAAAATCCCTGTGCTGTCGATCGACCGGTTTTCGAGAAGAACTTAGCCAAGGTTGTCAAAATTTAACTTCTTGTCTGTCAGAAATAACAAAGCTCGGATAGCAGGGTTAATCGATAACTTTTCATCTGTCAAATTTTAACCAAAAGTTAAAATAATCCACCAAATGGTTCAGAGCCTTAGAATATGACTACAGTGTACTTTCGCTCGTTGGGGTAAAACCCACAGCCCACTAGAGTGAAATGTTTTTGTTAAGTGGCCTGAGCTGTCAAGCTGAAAATTGGTTGAAGGAAATACGGATTGTTTATTATTTTCAAAATCATTATGTAATGTTCCAAATTGTTTATCCATGAGCCCCTCGAAATGGAATCAGCACTGGCAGAAATGACGCTACAGCCCATCTAACGGGCCCAACTTAAACGAACCATGAAAAATGTCCTCGAAGGTACTCCAAATTTTCGTAAAGCAGCTGACTTGTCTGTAGCAACGCTCAAAAATAAGGTGCAACTACCCTCACTTCGTTCGATTACTTGCTTCGCCCTATTTACAGCGGCTATCGAAATGCTTCAATTAGTACGGATATTTGCAACGATATTGAGTGGTGATTTGGAGAATGTTTGCTTTGTATCCACCGTGATTCACCGTCACTGTAGAAAGTGAACCATGTGTGGGGTTCCAGGCGGTATGAAGTGCCAGAGGGTCGTTGAAATGCTTGCGATCTTGGCGCACTCTTGGTTGATTTTCTCCATCTTGACCATCTCGTTGTTTGCTCCCTGGAAGCACGTAGCATTATCGGAGAAGATTTGATTTGGCTTGCCGAACTTGCTACGAAAACGAGCGATGGCCATTCGACACGACTCTGTTGTGCATAGTCTCATGCACGACCGCACGGCCAAACAAGTGAAGACTGCCACCCAACGCTTCTCCTTACGCCGTCCCACCGTAACTTCGACTGGACACAGGTAGTCAATGTCCACGGAGCTGAATGGGCTACCTTCTGGATAGCCGGACGCATTCTTGGAATATGGAACCACTGTCTCATTTCATTGAACACTGTCTCATTTCGTTGAACACTGTCTCCGAATTTGCGTGCCCGAACTCTTCGTGATAGTGCTGGATCTGTTTCTGGGTCACGTAGTGAAATCGGGACAGAACTCCCTTCGGCATTCGCAAGTCGACCGTCCATGCGTAACACGCCTTCGCTGTCCAACACCGGACTACGTTTCTTGACAGTCGCCACTGTTCCGTCCGGATGACGCTCCAAGATGTGCGTGAGCGCGCTCATTTCATCCGGAAAACTGTCCCATTGCGCTTGCCGCCAAAGAATTGTTTTTGCCTGCTGGAGCTCTTCCTGTCCTAGTTATGCTTTCACCGAAGCGTAATGCGCTGCCGTCGCTTCAATCAGCTGCCGCTGCTTCGCCTGGTCTTGGCAATAAAGCGTACTACGCTGGCTGTCACCCGCAACAGTTTCGTTCAACGAGAAACCGGTTCGACGTTGATCACCCCGTTGAACAGTACTACACCTCTTGCTTCTTCATCCATGTCTTCAATTATCACCTCTCGCTTTGGCCACCGCTCTTCCGGCCGATGCAGGAACGCTGGCCCGTTGAACCATTCTCCAACGCTTTGCAACGGTGGACCTTGTCTCCACTTTCGTCAGCACGTCTGCGATGTTCAGCTTGGTCGGAATCCATCTCCAATCCACTACCTTCGTAAGCTCTTGAATCTCACCGACCCGGAATGCAAAGAATTGCTTATATCGGTGTTGATCGGAATTGAGCCAAATGAGAGTGCGGGCCCAGGATCGTTTGACTCATCCGAGCACCCATCAACTCCATGCGTGGATCGATTGACGTTTTAGCGGCGACACCACTTCGAGATAGCCCAACGAGTGAAATTCCACTGTACCATTGGTACAACGGCAGTGTTGTCAGAAAACGTGACTTTTGGCATACGAATCAATCCTTACATATTTGAACAGTTATAACTTTTTTCTAGACGGAGATCGCAGTCAGTAGGCCGCGCTTGAAAGCTGACGTTTTTTTTTTATTTTGCTGCGTATTTTTTGTCAGCGAATTAAACATGTTTTGCTTTAAGTTTGTTAATTTGTGTGCCGAAATTTGATTTCAAGTGTTCATAGAGTTATCATTTAGTGATATGTCGTGTTTTGCCGCTGATTGCCTTGAGTGACTCGGTAGACGTTGAATCTAACCTCCAACATCTACGACGCAGCTTCAGTTCCATTGTTCAACATCAACAGAACCACTTTAGATCGGTTTTCATGCTGTTTGTTTAGGCTTGACTCGTGTTCATTTCTTCTTTCATTGTCAAATGAACTTACTTTTGCGTTGACGCGAAGCTGTTTCATCCAAATTCACGCAGTTTTTATGACTTTTGTTGATTGTTCACTCGGTTCATTAAAGCGTGTGCGCATAGATCTGTGCACGTGGTTGTAAAATTTATCATTGTTGGGTGGTTTGTTTACCCATCAATATGGGTATTTTTTTAATCGGGTGACGTCTAGAGGTCGAAAATTGATATGTGACGCCATTTTTAAATCCAAGATGGCGGCTTCCAGTTTAAGAAAAAGTGGGAAATTCTGTCAAATGCTTATCAATAAAGGTATTTTGGAATCGGGATCATTTCTAGAGGATGAAAATCGATATCCGACGCCATTTTGAAATCGAAGATGGCGGCTTCCGATTTACGAAAAAGTGGAAATACAGTCAAATACACATCAATATTGGTATTTTTGTAATCGGTATGAAGTCTACAGATCAAAAATGTATATGCGACGCCAATTCGAAATCCAAGATGGCGGCTTCTGATTTCAGAACAGGTGGGAAATATTGTCAAATACCCATCAATATAGGTATTTTTGGAATCGCGATGGCGTCTAGGGACCGGAAATCGATATCCAACGCCATTTTTAAATCCAATGTGGCGGCTTCCTATTTCAG